AAGGAAATCATCTTCTATCTACAAACACTACCACCTCCAGCACAATAGTGAAATGCCTGAACGCTTGATCGAGCAATTCAACGTCATCACGAAATGTAACGGCAAATTTGATTGCCTTGTTAATGAAATGTTGTATATTCGCATGCGTAAGCCAACACTGAACGTGCAAACGGATTCCATCCGCGCCAAGGTGTTTGTTTAAGCCGTTCAGTCTAATTTATGCTATTCTTGTACCTTTCCTTATTTGCATGTTTTTAAACTAGTCTCTTGATAATGGAGTCACGATGACCCCGAAACGTCGAGTAATAAATCTTTCCTGGTTTTTTCTATGCCTTTGCTTTAGCAAATCCCTGCTGATCAAATAAAGCTTTTGTCCTGAAATATTTCTTGCTCACTTTCTTCTTGCTTCTCATGGAAAAATTCCAGGTAACAAGTGATCTCCTCACCTGCAGCCAAATTTGCATTTTCACTTTGAAATCTGATTCACATGTCTGTTTGCACATTTATGAAAATATTTAGCAATTTTTGTCTTTCCTCTTGATTTTAGAGTAAAAATTTAATATATACCTATAATTTTTCAGTGAAAATAAGTTATTTAATCAAAGCTTCAAATGTGTTCCTTTTTTTTTTTTTGCTGTTTTTAATGTATGCAAATTAGGACGTGTGTGACAAACAATGGAATCCGTGTATAATACACACTGCAATTTTGATGGTTATTTTTGTAGAAATAAAGTGCGTATTATACACGGGTAAATACAGTAGGCTGTATGATTTGAGAATTGGGTTAATTATATACTGGTTAAACAGAGATTCAGGTGGTGAGCAAAATGCATGCTTGTACTATATTATTACCAGTTTGTAAAACCATAGAATGTGGGATTTCCTATTCCACCATTGTTTCATTTGCTAATATTTTAGTTTCAAGATACATCCTACACACTTAAAACAAGAAACAAGAGCTATAGTTCACTGAGAAATTTGCCATTTGCCAAAAATTGTTACCACCCATTTGTTACTAACATTTGGTGTATGTAACATGAGGAAAATTATAGCTCTTTAGACTAACCTGCATTCTTTAATTTTTGGCTCCCTAAATCCTGCCACATCATTTTCACTGATGGTCACACACCAAACTAAGCCCAAATAATAAATCATGCATGCATCTTTGCGGTAATGTTACAGAAAATAGCAAAATTGCATGCACCGTTGCATAAATGATTTTTCTTTTCTTTGGGGAGGACAATGGCAAAAAATTTTGTTGTTGCATATTTTTTTTTCATTGTTTCGTGTGAGAAGTCATCTAAAAAACTCCTGCTTCATGTTTCATCAGGGGTTCCCAACACCTTGAAACACTACAGTGTTTGCAGAACCCCTGATGAAGCACTCACACTTGCTTTTGATTTAATTATTACATCAAGTGATATGTTTAGACCAACTGTGCTAGCTAAGTCTTGTATTAATTGACAATATCTGATAGTTCATATGAAGGAAATGAATGCATGATGTTATCATTTTTTGTGATGACAGGTTTCTCAACAATCACCCAACTTGGCTATGTTCAAAGGCTATGTTATGAAGCTGCAATTGAATTGCACTATACATACCACTGGAAATAAGACAATAACAGAAGACTCCTGTTTACTTTTTAAAGTGGAAGGAAAAGTCCAAAGTAAGTATTTATTAAGAATATCTTCCATTTTAGATAAAATTGATTAAAAGACTTTAAACCACCAAACATATTACTACCATAATTTCTGGGTGTGTAGGTAGGGTTAATCTGTTAATTAGTAGCAGGGCTCCCACGTGCGCTTTGTGCATGTGGGGCAGAGCCCCATACCCATGGAATATGGTCAACCTCTTCATTTGGTTGTCACGTGACTGACCGAGCGTATGTATGTACGTGCCCTCTGTCATGTATGTTATCACAAAAGTACTATAAGCATCATGAGATGCAATAAACCACGGGGTTTGGAATTCAATATGGCTGTTGTGTGATACAGTCAGATTTTTCGTTCATTTGCGATCGAGTTGGACCTTGTGGAACTCAGAATGTAAAGTACCAATGCTATCAAATACTCTGCTTGAAAAAGAATGGATATCAAGGTCTTAAAGGTGACAGAATAAGCTCTCGTATCTAATACTCAATGGGTTTTCCTGAGAATGTTGACAAAAACTATCTTGATTCTTACTGGTTGATCGTGGCTTATGACATCCGCTGGAAGTACAAAGTAGCGTCTTTGGGGCCCCAACAGGGAATACAATTTTTCATATTTTTCACATTTTTGTACCTCGCGTAGGGTGGCTGGGTCCAAAATTTGATAACCAAAATGCATGTTTGGAATTCCTTTGAGTACCCCTCATATCCGGATCCCTAGAAGAGCTCCAAATCTACGACTTTGCATTCCATTTTCTTGTAAACCAATGTTGAATGGAATGATTCAAAACCCGAGTCACTGTAACAGCTGGATAATCCTTCTGTGGCCTGTTGAATTTCGGTGGGAAATTGTGTGACCTCTAGATGACACACCACCTTGAATACGAGGTGGTGTGGGATCTAGAGGCCTAAGCTGCCTGCCTTGTTGCATTTCTTCACTAGGGAGAGCGAGCTGAATTAACCACCAAACTTTGAAAACCCAAAACGAGCGATTTTGAGGCTTTCTGGCAGAAAAAAACACTTCCAAACAAGTAATGAACTATTAATCTTTATTTGGAGCTGATTTTTTTTGAAGACTGACTACTAGGGACAGATTCTAGAGGCAATATATTTGAACTAAATTGATAACGGCTGTGTAAATGCCATAGGAACCCAAAACCATAGAAACCCTAAACCACAGATATTTGAGATGGTAAGCCTGTGCTATTACAAACCAAAAATGTCGCTGTTAATTCATGGCTAAATTACGGCTTTCTATATAATATTAAATTTAATTTTTTACTAAATTTAATCTATACTGAATGAATTTTTGGCTAAAAATTTTTAATGTACGTGAAGAAAATTATTTTTGCTACAAAATTTTCACTTATTGGGAGCTCCGCTTTTGGGCTTGGCTAAATCTATATATTATATCAGTTAACAACGTTTGTGATGGGTAATACTAGGGGGTGTGGGTTATGTGACAGTTTTAAATCTACCAATACTGGTTACAACTCTTTTACAGTAGTTACCTATGAGACAATTGTTGAATTGTCCCAAACATTTCTCACCTTGATGCCTTTCAACTTTTAAGTTCTGTGGCACAAAAATTGGTAACAAAATTAGCAACAAAATTCAACAACCAAACTGGCAACAAGATCACAACCAAGCTGTACAAAAAAGTGAGGCAGATGCAAGCTGATTTTGCTGGCCACTTTATTTGTTGCATGTGACGAAGCAAACTTTTGCTTTCCTTTTTTGAGTGTTTTCACAACATTCTGTGTGGCTTTATCATCTTAGATAGTGCTGAAAAATGCTTTAATTTATGACAATCAGGCAATTAATGCATACTGTGTTGATTATGTTATCAGTGTTATTAAATCAATAGAACTGACCAACGAAGTTGGAATTACTTTATTGTTCTTCAGTTGACAAATTGGTATACACGTCTTTGACCTTAAATTTAGTTTGTGATCTTAGACTGCCTTTTCTAAGCACACAATCTCTTATGATATCTTTGGTATAATTTGTCTTTTAGTTCAATTCAATTGCCCAACCACTTTACCACCATCAACAAACACCACAGGGACACCATCAACAACCACCACAGGAACACCATCAACAACCACCACAGGAACACCATCAACAACCACCACAGGAGTCGAACCACCTGATCCACATTCGTCTGATCATGATCCGGTCAGTGAATCAATATTTTACATTTTACATGCTCTTACAAAAAAACTAAGCATTTCCTGAGAAAATGGCATTCCCCAATCTTGATCAAGGCCACTTTTAATTTATATGCAAGAATGAAGAAAAGTCAGTTGTTTTGATTTAGGTAGGGAACAGAGACACTGGTGGTCCACTGCTGTCTATAAGACCATTTATCACTGTTTTTTTAAAGTAGAAGTTCTCTTCAGAATCAGTATAATTTTTATCACCAGCATTCTTGAAATAATCAAACCTGCTTTTGAGATTTCAGAGAGTAATTTTGCTTTTGAAAAATTTTGAACCTTAATTGCCTTTGCCAGCAACCTGGCGGCCACTTATCTGCATGGAATATCAAAGTCTCTTTCCATTCTTTCCACCTCTAAAGGATGTAGGGCAACTTAATTAAAGAAGCATTGATGACTCACTTCATGTTATTTTTATGGCAAGGTGACAGAAGCAATTTGTAAACCACATGTTGTGTTTTTTTGTTTATGTGTGCATCCAGGTTACTGCATTGCTTTCAAAATGGAAGTGTCTGGAACTGAGTATTTAGTTCATTTGACGAGAGTGTTTTATCGGTTCTGTCCTCGTGTACCGGTTCACAAGAGCCAATACAAAAGACCAAACAATACACAATAGCTAACCGATAACTCCTAAACAAAGAAAGAACAATGGTAATTCCCTTGTGAACCGGTACACCAGGACAGAACCGTTTTATCTATTCTAGGTTATAAACTCTTTGGAGTCGTAAATTGTTCATGGTTAAAAGTCAAGTATTTACCAATGTACTGGTTATAAGGTTACAAAAAGAGACAAAAATTGTGTGGTTTCTGGAGTGCACAAAATTTTCAATTGAGACTGTACATATGGTTTGTGTGTTCTCCCTCACGATCATTCTTGCATGTTTCTGGTTTGAAAGAGAGTTCTGCTTATCATATCTATTTTGGATATATCAACAAAGTTGAAGTGGTAAATTGGCCACCGTAACGATTACAAAGGCTGACGTTTCGGGCGTTAGCCCTTCGTCGGAGCGAATAGAGGAATAGCCCTTTTTACAGTTACCGGCGCCATATTGGATGTGTAACCGCGCAAACATGATAGCGAGGTTAGTGTTGAGTCGCGTTGCGAGTTCTAGTGAGAGTTTAGTGAAATGTGGTGGTGCTCTGTCCTTTTCATCGAGATATTTCGACAATGAACGATACTTTCCCTACGCAGGATATTCCTCCTTCTTCTTCGAAAAGAAGAGGAAGACACTGTGCCGCTTTTTGGTTGTGCTAATAGCTATTATGACACAACAGGCAATCCAACAGGTCTGCATTTCTTCTCGTTTCCGAATGAC